ATTTTAAAAAAATATGTAAAAATATTTAAATTTATATGTATATGTATTGTGTACATGTAAATGTATATATAGATAGAATGTGTAAAAAATGTATCTAAACAATATGTTTAAAACCATATTAAATATTATGAGCCTAACATATTATCTCACCCTAAATTTGTTGAGAGAACATAAAAATTAGTTTTTTTTAAGTACTTACGTAAAAAAAATTCAAAATTGGGAGTTTTAAAGTATAAGAAATTTGAATTTTTTGGATGGCATATTGTATGCAATCTACTTCGAATTTTGATTGAAGGTTTGAAAAATTGGTATTCAAAATCAGAGAATCCCAAAATTTCGGAGAATCCAAAATTTTAGGATGTTGTGTTGTATGGAATAAAAGTAGCCTAATATTATTGGTCCGATTTTTCAGGCTTGTATAGAATAAAGAGTTATCTAATATTATTGGTCCGATTTTTCAGATTCCTTATTTCAATCCATCGTGTGTAGTAGTAAGAACCAAAACCCAGTATTAAACTACTTGCATCTGATTTACATCGTGTTAAATAAAAAATACAATAATAGTTCCAATTTTTAATGCAACAGACGTGTATGGAACCAAAAACTAATGTTTTTTTGGCTATTCATTTAATCTTGTCTGAAAATCTTTACAGAAATTTTCAAAAGTATATGAATTAAATGTTGTCCAAAATCTTTACTAACTATTTTTGGTAAATGTTAATCTTTTTATATATATATATATATAGATATATAGATATAGATATACATAGATATAGATTAAAGATAAGGGAAAATCTTATTAACTAATAATTATAACGTAAAGATAATGGTAAATAATATTAATTAATAATTATAAATTAAAGATGTGGAGTTAATATGTGATATAATTTATCGTATATCAATTGTAAACAATATAAAATTATCTTTTATAATAAAGAACATTAAAAACATATGTTTAAAATATTATAAACACCTAAAATATTATAAAAGTAGGATATTTAGAGTTGTGAAAGAAAATAGGCTGAAATAAATCTAATTTTTATTATAAATTTTGATAATTGAAAAGAGTATTCAAATTTTGAAAAATATTTTATGTAGAAATTCGTCCTATGTGGACTTTTGAATTGATTTCAAATTCGTCCAATCTATATATTCAAATAGATGATTTTGAATTGATTTCAAATTCCTAATCTATTAAGAATTTCTACAGATTGGATATTTATCAAGAAGATTGTCAATTTAAAATAGTGCAAAAGTCTTTCTTTAAGGAATGATTTTATTTGGCCGACCAACAATGGTGTATGTGATAAGATATTTTTTAAATCAATTTGAACAAAATACTTAATTTTAGGGAGGAATTTTGGATTGATACCGATTTGGTGGCAAAACAAATTTAAGAAGGATTTTGTTTCAAAATTTCAATTCAAATTCAAATGCATTGTTGTATGATTTTGTTTACGGTGGCTGATTTAGTGTTCAAAAAAGAAAAAAAAATCCAAAAATAGTAAGCAATTAATGTTGTCCGAAAATTTAGGTTACTATTTTTGATATATGGTAATTCTTACTATATATATAGATACTGTTATTTATTTTAAAATTCAATAATTCATTGGTTTAAATACTTTTATATGTAAAGTTGTGAAGATATCTATAATCGAATCAATAAATATAGAGGTTTAATGATTCGATTCGCTGTTTTAAATACTTTTATATGTAAGATTGTGAAAATATCTATAATCGAATCGATAAATATAGAGGTAGATGCTTGGATATAAAAATGTTTGGTTTTGGTTGGATTCTTTTGGTTTGATTTGGTTAATTTTGAAAAAGTGATATGGTTAGTTGGTAGTGAGTATATTAAAATAATAATTAAAGTTGATTTGATGTAAAAGTATGAGAGAAATGATTTGAAACCATAATCTGTTAAAATTATGTGAGTAAATTAAAATTGATGTAGTGTGTAGAAATGACTGATTGATATTATTTAATTATATTGATAATATTGATGATAGTGGAGTTGAGTTAAAAAAATGTTTAGATTTTTTTTATCATATTTGTATCCAAGCATCCAATGATTCGCTATTCGTACAAGTGGTTGGAATAATATTTATTTGTTAATGATTTTCAATAGAAAAATTTTATTTTCATAATTATTAATTTCGTATTTTACAAAGTAAACTAAAGTTTGTAGTAAATAAGAATAATTGCTACTTAAAAAATAACAGTTTGCAACCTTCAATTATAAGGAAGCTAAAACATATGCAATAATAATATATAAATATAAACTTGATGAATGCATTTTTAGCTTCTTTGAGCATTGCTAAGGCCAAATTCGAGAAGTACATTCTGGAATGCAACTTGTATCATTTTAGTCGACTAATCGTCCCCCTGATAATCAAACCTGTCTATAGCCTTTGGTAGGGGATATTACCAACTGGACCATTACTAGCGCTGAATCGCTGATATTATCGGTGGACCATATAAATGTATATAAATATTAATATAAAAATTAATGCATAATCTTATTTTTCGAATATGCATGTATAAGATTTCACCTTTGTATATTGCTGCTTGTTTGTTAGTTTCAAACTATTTGGAGGCCGCATACTATGATTCTTCCAATAATACGTTTTGTTTACTTTAATTTAGTTTAGGTTGTAAAGTGTAATTTTTTGTATTAGTATGTGATGTTAGTACGAGAGTTAGTTTTAGGTTGCGATGTGTGAAAATGATAAAAATACATATTGTAAATAATGATGAGAAATGTTATAGACATATAATATTGTACATAGAGGTATGCCTAACACTTACATTGAGTGAGACCTACCAAAAATAAAAGAGAAATATTATAAAAAAGTACATAATACTGTACATAGAGGTGTACATAACACTCACATTAAATGAGTCCTACAAAAAATAAAAAATCAAGTGGACCCCACTCCATGTGAATGTTATGTACACCTCTATGTACATTTATTATGTACTTGTAATATTTTTCTAAATAAAAAGAGAAATGCTATTGGTACATAATATTGTACATAAGGGTGTACATAACACTCGCACTGAGTGGGAGCTACCAAAAATAAAAAATCAAGTAGACCCTACTCCATGTGAGTGTTATGTACTCCTCTATATACGTTTATTATGTACTTGTAGCATTTTTCATAATATTATATATATATGTGTGTATATGATGTGGTTCAATGAGAACCAAGTCTTAGAGTGAGAACCGCTATTTTTAATTGTACGTAGTGCTATTGTTGTTTGTGTTTTAATGCTATTTTTAATCATGAAGTATTTTATTAAACATAACAACAAAATGTATGTTATCATTTTATGAAAATGATAGCACCATGTAATATTAAAAATAACAGTATACATAATTAAAAATAGCATCAAATATGGTTCTCACGATTCTCACACAAAGACTAATTTTTATTGGACCAGCCCCTATATATATATAGAGAGAGAGAGAAGGGTTCAAATGTGAAAGAAAGATAGTGAAAGAAATAAGAATGAATCTACACCATTGGATCCATTAAGGTAATGGCCATGATGAAGTCAAACTTTCATAAATAATGGTCATTCATTAATGGCAATTTGGTAATTATTTGAACTATTGTGGTCAAATATATGTATTTGACCAATAATTAAGCGTAAGTTGATAATTACACGTATACCACACATGATTAAGGGTAAGTTGATAATTACACCTATACCACATATGGACCCACACTTTCTATTTTTATTCACGTCTCTCCTTCACATTCAGATCCAATTTCACACACACACACACACACACACTCCAGCGGGCCCGACGGAAATCAGCCCACGAACCACCGGTCACCATCGTCGTCACCGGACTGTCGCCGTTGCCGCCAATACCATCCCGTCGAGCACTGTCAGCCATCCCCAATAACGCCCTCCCTCTCCCGTCCTCCCGAACACACCGGAGTCAACCCGCCACAACTACCGGTCACTGCCATTTGCCTAATCTCTCCCGTCGCTGTCGATTTGTCACCGCCGCTAACATCCCGTCGAGAACCCAACACCACCACCACTGTCACCTGCCCCTGTCTCAAACCCACTCAGCCCGCCCGTCGAGCGCCACGTTCCAGCGAGTTGCAGAGGAATAGTAGAGGGATGGCGACTTGAACAGGATGAGATCGCCGGCGATTTGAACGGGAGATGGGAAGAGGCGGCCAGAAATGCTATTAGGGCTAAGGAATTGCATCATGAAGTGTTGTGTGAATGAATTTGGTGCTATGGATGAATTTTGATTTAGGTGCACTGATTTATGCGAACGAATTCGGTGAATTGCTATATGAATGATTTTGGATGCTTTATTCGAAAGAATTGGGTGAATTGTTCTGAAAATGATGTAGGTGAAAGTATTGGGTGAATTCCTATGTGAATGATTTTGGCTGCTTTATTCGAAATAATTGGGTGAATTGTGTGAATGAGGTGAAATGTAATTTTGGGGAGGGAATTGGTTGAAATAACCCTCCTCAAATACTAAATTGGCCATTCCTCATTAAGGAATTGATTGTGTCTTGTCAAGTTCATGTTGGTACTATTTTTTAAATATTGTTTTTGGATATTATGGCTTGTTGCCCTTCATAGGGTATGTTGCCTTTAGAGTTAGGCTATGCCTTGCTCGTGCTTTTAGATGCTACATTTGTAGACGTTGTATGATTGTAGCCATTTGGTTACCGGATCTTGTTTTGAGTTTTAATGAATTAATTTGTCGTTTGGAAAAAAACAAAAATACTAAATTGGCCAAATGACCCTTGACT